AAATATTGTATTAATTTAGATATAAATTCTCATCGGGGTTCATTATGTATATCGAATGTTTTATAAAATTTATATACAAATTCATTATATCAAGGATATATATGTTTAAACCGAATGTTTTATAAAATCATATATAAATTCGTTATATCAAGGAACCTTGGTGAATCGAAATATAAATATAATGAAGCAAAACCTCCAGCTTCAGAGCTTCATTATATCAAGGTTATACTGTAAATGCCAAATCTTGATTTATATCCTGATTTTACTAAACTATTTTTAATTTTCTTTTTTGGTGTTATTTAAAGCTGGCTTTACTTATTTGTGCCAGTAATACAATTTAAAAAAAGAAAATTTCATTTTGTAAATAAACAAGTGCACAAAAACACAAATTTAGAGTTAAGAAGTTACTGTTAAAAGCTATAGCTATAGACTATTGCTTATTATATACTAAATTTTATTTCTAACATTTTTAATTAATGAATTTAGGTTAATTTAAACACTAGTTTTTGAGTATTTTCACTTTTTTCTTCTTTTGCATATATTCAAAATTTATGTTGAGCTAATTCAAAACAATCAAAATTTGAACTCACTAATTGGTTATTTTCTTTTTAGAAGTTTGTATTATTGACACAAATAAGTAAACCATCTAAAGCTATATATTTATATGACTATTTTGTTTTATCAACCAACTGGAATTATAAAATTTTGTTTATACAAATCAGCACAAAGAAGTCAAAAAATAAAAAAAATGCTAAAAGATAAAAAATAGTAGTTTAAACCTGTCATTTTTAACTCTCCCTAATGATCACTCATACTAAACTTATGGCTAATGAAAACAGAAACTTGTTAGAGAAAAGTAGAAGAGACAACTATACAATAATAGTTTTTACAGAGGCCAAGAATTTTTATGTTTTCCTCAGACTCCACTGTATATTTAATATACAAGTTAAAAGCATTTCTATACAAGATAACTGACAAGAAGGTGGTGTCTTTATACAGAAAATTTTAATAGAAGCTCTGCTTCTGCTGACGAAGTTAAAGATAGTTGGTCTAAAGAGAACAACAAACGAGTTTTCAACATACTCTTTACCAAAGTTTAAGGCTACCTGCAAACCGAAACCCTCTTCTATACTCTACTCTCTTGATTTATGCGAAATTTCTACAAAAAGTGGGAAAAACAGTATATCTCATCAAAAGATCGACAACAACAATCGCTGCCAAAAAAGAAAATATACATACACATGTACGTGTATGCTTTAGATTATAGTGTTAGATACTTTTTCTTCAAGAGGTTATGGTGGTTACACTGAGAGTGCCCGATCGCTGACATAAGTCGACAGACAACAGCTCGCAAACTTTGCCCAGGAAGTTATAGGTTGAAACATTGCAGAAGGTTTGTCATAGTTTGGGATAGTAACTAGAAGTTTCGACCTTTAGAGCTCTACTTCAAGACCAGATAGTTTTTTATATTTTTACATCCTGGATATAGACATAAATAACTAGTATAGAGTTTTAGTCTAGATTATTTGTAGTACTATATAATTTTTATAATCCTGCATAGGTTTAATAGTGCTATCTTTGTTTTGTTTTGTTTTCTTTTTTTGTTATTTGTTTTATTTGGTTTTATTGGTTTAGGTGGACCAGAACTCAATGCTGTAGTATTTCTCCATTTTTGTTTTGCCCTTTGCATTTGTATTTGTATTTCATTTGATAAAAAGAAAAGCTAACTTTGATATGGTGTATGGTACCAGCCCATGACCAAATAGTAAGTTAGAGACCCAGAAAGAGGCTTAAAGTCCACTGAGGCAAGTCATATCTGGCGAAAGTGTAGATAAGCTACTTTACAGATAGATTAGTATAGCTATTATTAGGGAATGTAAATTTCTTAATTTAGTTAATTTGCAAATAAGAAGTGGTAGAATTGTCGAATTATAAAAAAAAGTAGTTTAAACCTGCCTTTAGATAATAATTAAAAATGCCAAAAAGGCAATTTTACCAATATTCCTCTTTTTATATCAACACCAACCTAATTCTAATTTTAACTTTAATTTTAACCTTAATTTTTTAAAATATCAAAATCATGTGGATATATGGATTTAATTATCTTTTTTTGAAAAAAACACAGCAATTAAAATTAAAATTAGGATTAGTTCAAAGATATAGCAAGTATTATAGATAAAATTACTTTCTTAACATTTTTAATTAATACTTTAAAATAGGTTTAGACATATGTTTTTTGTATTTTTTAGTTTTTTTTCTTTAATCCTTATACTGTATATCCAGACATTTATTTATATGATATATACCTCATATAAGTATTCATGTATTAGGATTCAGAGCACAGAGTATAGAAATGCTTAATAGCCAAAAGGCAAGCCTATACTTAACTCTAATCTAACCTATAAAAACTTTAACTTATAAAATATATTAGGCTATACAAACTTAATAAATCGGTTCTCATAACCCAGTTGGGTCAAATTTTACAAAACTTTAAAAAAAAATTTTAAGTCTATTTACTATCTGAGTAGATTATTCTAAAAATTAATAAAAAATTTTATATGTTTTTTATATATAAAATTTTTTGAAAATAAAATTAAAAGCTGGGTTGGCATGTCACTTTCAAAAATTTTATGTTATGAGAACCTTTTTTTTTTTTTTTTTAGCGATCCTGCCTTTATTATTTACATCAGAAGTATTAGAACTTTATATTTATGCTAAATATAAATTTTCTATACTATATTCCTATACTAATAAAGACTCACTCAACTTTTTAGTCCAGGTGTGACCCGCCTAAGCAGCCAAATTTGCTTCACGTTGGATCCTCAACTTTCTTTCGATCTTTAGCTAGGAGCTGCCAACCTTGTTAGAAATCACCAATTTCTGCCACAATTGGTCTAGAAGAACCAATTTGGTTGTTATAAGAACCTATTTATTAAGTTTGTATAGCTTTAACTAATATTACTACACTATTTTTAATTTTTTTTTTTTTTTTTAGTGATCCTGCCTTTATTATTTTAATCAAAAGTATCAAAATTTTATTTTTGTTACAAATATATAATTTTATACTAAATTCCTGTATTAATAAAGGCTTACTTAGTATTAAATGCTCAGATGCACCTTGCCTAAACAGCTAATTTGCTTCATATTAGATCCTCAACTTTCTGAGAATTTGTTTCCTCTGATTATAAGCTAAAAGCTGCTGATCTTGTCAATACTGCCTTTTTTTTAATATGAGTTCAAGAGGATCAGTCTGACTTGACACGATATCGAAAAAGATTTCAATTATTTTTTTGCATTCGCTTAAAGATTTGTTTTTCTTTTCTTTTTTGGTTAGTATTCTTTTTGTTTCTAATATTTTGTTTTTTTTGTTCTCAGAATTCTGTATGGGTTTCTTTTTCTTCTTGTATTGTTTTTTCTTTTTAACTTTGTTTGTAATCCTGTGTTCTTTTTCTCAATCATTTTTTTAATTTTTTAATTTAGAGAATATTAAAGCCAAGTGTATTAAATTACTTTTTTGTCCAAATGGCAGGTCTAGAGTTCAAATTCCACTGGCGACGATTTTGAAAAATAAGATTTGTTTCAGTAACATTTATTTGACGATCGGTTGGGTGTACTATCTATAACCTTGGTACCACTATCTTTAATAGAAGCTTTCGGGTGAAGTTGTATAACATCACACAGACAAAGCCAAGGAACCAGAATAATTGAAACCCATTTGGAAAGACCCGAGCAAGGAAGTAGTAAAGATCTTTGATGATACTGCAGAAGCCAGAAGCCCAGAAACTGGAGACCGAAGAACCAGATGAATAACTCTGGGGCAAGAAGGGTTTACCAACCTGGCCGTTGAAATCGCATTGAAGGAAAAGGTCCTATGCTGCGAAATTAGGAACCAAAGAAAGGGAACCATCAGATACTTAAAATCTAGGTATACCAACCTATCTGGACTAACTGGTTTGGAAGTTTGGGAGGGATCAGTATAAGGACCGGAAGGAAGGTAGATGTAGGTATTGGGATTGGAATAAATCTTGTAAGGGTAGGGGAACCAGAAATTGTGCGGTTTAATGGTTAGCTCTGACCACTAGTGTTGGTTTCGGCCATAGCAGACAGGTTCTCTGAACCTAATTTGAAAATGTGTGAGACATAGAAGAATTAGGGATGCAGCCACTATGCCCACCTGTAGGGACCCTAGTAGAGTAAGTAGCACAATAGTCATGGGCATGCCAACGTGGCATGCTAGTGGCATGCCCGAAGCTCAACAGTTATTAGGCATGCTATTTTGTAAGATCGACTAATTAAATTTTGTATCATGATATAGATAAACGTATTATTGCACAGGTTTTATATAACAACTTATTGGTACGGGATTGTACGTACGTTAAAAACACTGTGCAATAATACATATAGGGTTATAAAATAACCAAATTTGCACCTTCGGCAATATAACAAATTTACAACAGTACAAATCGGTATAACTACATATTATATTCTCGAACATTTTGTTTTTTGAAATCTCTTCTAAACACAGTAGACTATATCAGGTTCTTGGATCTAGAGCTCACACAAGTTATATTCAGTGATTCTGGTATTAATCTAAGATCTTAAGGTTTATATAATCTACTTACTTTAACGCTTTAAATATAAATTTATTAATGATTTATAGATATAAAAAGATTTTACACTTTAAATCTTAGACATATATATTTAAAGATCACGGATATTAATAGCAAGTTTTACACAAAGAGAAGTTATTATAGGATTTAATTTTACTTTAATTTTTTATAAAAAAATTCTAACATTATTGAAAAAATTTTTTTTTTAGAGACGGAATATTAATTATTTTACATTCGTTAATTTTGTGAGTATACAAGCAAAAACACTTACATACGTTTTCAAATCTATTATAAAAAAATACTACATTTGAAAGAGTATATCATCAACTGACCAATCGATGTTGGTATTATTAGTAGGTCTTTGAGAATCAATGGTTGAACCATCTTCAACTACATCTTCTTGATTTTGTTCAAAAAACCTAAGATTAAAAAAATGACTCATTGCCAGCTCATCATTTGTCTCCATATTTACTGCTTCAACATTAATTTGCAAAAACTCTTCGTTAAATTCTTCCTCGAAGTAGAGGTCAACGTCGGCATCTTCAGTCTCAAGATTTATAGAGTCTTTATGTAAGTCTTGATCGTTTATTTTATTTTTTTTTTTGACATTTCAGGTAGTCCTTGGTGAAGATCATGGCGAAGCATCCCAAGCATTCCAGTCATAGCAGGAGACATCCTGTTTCGTAGCTTTGTTTTTACTAGTCCCAAACTAGAAAACAAACGCTCAACAGCTGCTGAATGGAGAATAATTGAAAATATCTTCATCGCAAACCAGTGAAGATTTGGGGAACCTCCAGTAAACTGAGACCAAAAAATTTTGAGGTTAATATCGCTAATATATTGGAAATCAAAAGATGCATCACAATTCTTATAACTAATAAGCTCTTTAGACAAAAGCGTTGCTTCTCTTTTGTCAAAGCTCCAAACTTTCGCTAATTCCAAGGATACCCTGATGATTAAATCTCCTGACATTTGTTCTGAAGTTGCTATTTCTCTATGGTTTGGTGACAAAAAAAATGCTACAAAATAAATACTATTAGAAAATTCGCGTGTTCATTTATCAATAGCTGCCAACACATGATTTTTGAACCCTTCAATTGGAATATTCATTGCAGAGATAGTGCAATGAATATTTATTAGTTCTTTGAAGATATCAGCTAATGTGGCATCTCTCGACTCAAGGTGACCGATAGCATCTACAACGGGAATAAGCACTTTTATTAATATATCGTTGTTTGCAAAATGGTGGCGGTTGGTGACTATATCTTGAATCTCCATTCTAATCGTTGAGTAATTACTAGTTCCACTAATATCAATACAGTGATAAAACTCTCTTTCAAAGGCTTTAACTCCCAGACAAACTTTCACAAGAGAATACCATCTAGTTTCGCAAAATGTTGTAAGTGAATGATGCAATCATTCTTTTTTCTGCCATTCTTTTAGTGTACGAAGCCAGATATAAGAAGAGGTAAAAAAATTAATGATTTTTTGGTTGTTTTTAATAATCATAACTAAAGGTTGAAAAGAAAAAATATTTTTTGCAAGCAAGTTAAAGGCATGAAGACAGCAGCGGATCGGAATAATATTCGGATAATTTTCTTGGAGATCATTTTTTATTCGAATCATGATAGCGGGATTATCAGTTACGCATGCAATGATTGAATTAATGAAAACAGAATTCGAACTAAGGATTTTTTCGAGCTGTACTTTAAGAAAAGATGCAGTATGTCGATTTGCAGATAAATCACAAATATCTAAAATATATTCTTTATTCTCTTTTAAAGCCATGAAACTATATATTGAGTTTCTAGATACGTCTTGCCATCCATCTAAGGCGATAATGATATCAGTAAAAGATTCCATCTTTTCGAACTTTTTGCTTAGGTAAGTTGAAAACGTATTATTGAGAACTTTAATACACAACATATTAGCTGAGGGAGAAATATAGCTTGGTGCTAATTCATTAAGAAATTCACGAAAATAAGGATTTTCAGTAACCTTAAAAGACATATTACTATAGATAATGGCATCAAGCAGTTTTTTGTCTATTTTAGCTTGCTGATTTTGCAAAATTGGTTTAATACACCAATTCACCAAACTTTCTTGATGCTTTATTACAGAAGACAATGTACTATCAGTGGTATCGGCATCACTACAAGAGTTTATATTTGTTAAAAAAAAAAAAAAAAAAAAAAAACACTTTATATTTAATATTACGTATATAGACGATTCATGATCAGAAACTGATTTAATTTTTTTGCGAGATTTAGGGATAAAACTTGAAGCTTTTTTAATATAAGAGTTTTTCTCTATAACGGGCCAACTACTACATAAAAGAACATGAGTATGAAGTTTTTCAGGTCTGCCAGATAATTCAATACTGCAATAACTGCATTTAGCAGTATATCTATTTCCTGCTCCTTTTTCTATAGAGCGAAAAAACACTGTCCAGCGATAATCATGGCTTTTCATATCAGGAAGAATAAAGCCAGGGGAAACTGGGCAGATTCCGTATTGCTTACTATTTCACCTGTTTCTGAACTAATGTACGATTGCATAGCACAGGTCTAAAAAAGGCTTTTTTGAAAAATATGCTAGACGATTTGACAAGTGAAACTTTTTTTATGTTTTTAGTATTATCTTTAAAATTCACAGATTTACTAATACAATTTTATTTTTATAATATAGGAATTAAGGACAAACCTGAAAATTCGAAGACTTTTGAAATTTCAATTTCTTGGAAAAATTTTTTAAGCACAAAAGGGTTTTATATATTTTAAGCATACATATATTTTTTTTAATCTAATCTAATGCAATTTAAGTTTTTTTGATAGAATTCCTTTCGTCTCTTTTTCATGATTCGAATCTTTAAGGCTTTGATATCGTGACGGGGAATGATTTTATTATTTACCCATTTACCCGAGCAATTTAGTTTATTTTTTTCTAAACCTTTTAATTTTTATACTATTTAGACGCAGCTTTAAGTTCATGAACTCCTTAGACAATACCCAGCTAGTGGCTCAATTTAAAGCCAATCCAAAGCCATGATATAAAGCTAATTAGATTCAGGTCAGATCAAGTCGTGGCTTAAAACTAAGGCTCATTTTGAACTAAATTAGATTAAACCATGGTTGGGGAGCTGGTTTTAAGTAATTGATAGCATGCAATTCAATATAGACATAGATCAAAAATCAATTTAAAGCCGGATTCACAGTAGGCAATTAACAGTTTACAAAACAAGTAGATATCTATGGATTTGGTGTTATTACGGCTGAAATTACGACTGGTCAAAAAACCTTTTGACAGTTATGAATTCAATACAAAACATGTAGTCAGGATTTGCAATAGGTTTGCTTCCGGAACTCCCGATTGTTACGTTAAATTTCAAATCAGTGTTTGAACTTATAAAGCTAAATAGATTCAAGTCCAATCGACCTGTGGCTTAAAACTAAGGCCCAAGTTGAACCAAATTAGCTTTAAACCGTGGTTTGAGAGCTGCTTTGAGTGATTAATAACGTACAATTAAATATAGATATGGATCAAAAAAAAAGGGAAAACCCGCATCTATTCTCAAAATTTTCACCTCGCAAAACTTTAAAACTATAGTATAATTAATGTGAATATGGCTAGTTAATACAATTTATCAATATTATAAATCCGTGTTTATATAATAAAAATTATATAATTTACTACACCAATCATTGGTATCTAATATGATATTAAAAACTGTATTACAAATATAACTTTGGCATCTATATTTTATTTACAAATTATCTTTGAAACTATATAAATTACAGATCTAAAAAATTATTTTTAACAATACTAACCAATCAAAATCGAATCCATTTATCACGTGGCCATGTGGCATGCCAGGGTGGCATTGTGGCATGAGTTTTAGCAAATGGCATGCCAAATGGCATACTAAATTTTTTGGCTGTGCCATTTACCCTAGTAGCATGCCAAAAACAAATTTGGCATGCCACTAGCATGCCACCATTGGTATGCCTTTGCCACTATGCCAAGCACTTTACTTGGCATGCTAATAAACTTTGTATCATTCACTCTAGGTGTGGCAAAATCAAAAAAAGGTGTGGAAATATCAATTTTCTAAAAAATATTAGAAATTAATATAGTTTTTTATAAAATTAGAATGCGGCCAACTTAAATAATATTTGTATCCTTCAATTATAATTTACTATATATTTAAATTATCATTATAATAATTATAATAATTATAATATATAACTGTAATAATATATATATCTAATGGATACATATCATTTCACCAACAATTACTTCACTGACAACTTAGTTCATCGACAATTAATTCACTGACAAGTTCATTTCACCGACAATTAATTCACCGACAAGTTCATTTCACTGACAATTTATTTATATAAATTATACTAACCTTAACTCTAATTTAGCCAGAATTACTTTGTCTGTGAAATGAGCTGTCAGTGAATTAATTGTCGGTGAAATGAACTTATCAGTGAATTAATTGTCGGTGAACTAAGTTGTCGGTGAAATGATTGTTGGTGAAGTGATTGTCGGTGAAGTGATTATTGGTGAAATGAGCACCACCCTATCTAATATACAGAATTTTATATAAAAAAAGATTTGCATCTAAAATTAAAATGAAAATAAAATTTTTATTAATGCTAATAGCAAAAAAGGTAGATATTATTTTTAATAATTGCTGGCATCAAATGAAAATATTATTGATAAATAATTTATATAGTAATTAAATATATGAAATTATTTTTTTTAAAAAAATAAATAATTCAAAAAAACAACTCATTTCAACGATCACTTGTACCAACTTAATACTGAAAACAAGTTGAAAATTCAAGCCTAGAAGTCAACAAAAACTTTAAATTTCTTAATATGAATTGTTGTCAATGAAGTCTTTAAATATGATAAATTAAGAAGCAGGCATTTTAGACAGTTTGCAAAGGGGTCAAACCTGATTTTTCTGCTATTTCTTAAGTAGACTCCTCTTTGTATTTGGCATCCAAACTGGAACAGCAATTAGAAAAGAAAACTAAAGTTTGTTTAAAGATAAAAAACTTTAAAGAACTCTTGAAACACACTTTTTGGTTAAAAAACTCACAGAAACTTGATATTTCCTCACTGTTTTCTGGCTTCAAAATTTTTGACAAAAAGTGAGAAATTTAGCTTACCCCTTCAAAAAATTAGCATTATTTACTACTTTTATATCAGAAAACTAAATGATAACAAATCAGCATGTGTTACAAAATAAATAAAATGATAACAAGTTTACGTGAAGTTTTTAAAGTCTTTATACTTTCAGATGAAGATATAGATTTAATGAGAAGTTAAACAAAGTATTTTAAGATATACAATATATCTCTTGTATATAATTTTTAGCCTCTGACACGAGTTATAATACATTTTGTTTTATTTTTTGTCAAGACTCTTGCACTTAATAGTAGATTATTACTCTGCATAATTAGAAGTTTTCACCTAGTTAGCAAGTTTTCTTCTTTTTAGCAATAATTTCTTTTAGGTTTTAGTTTAGTTTTTTTATATTTCTTAGTATTAGTATCCATTTTCTTTGATGTATTAGTTTTTATTATATACTCTTTTTTTTGTTTTCTATTATCTTTTTTTTTATTTTTTATTTTTCTACAAAAAAGTGT